TAAATTAGTAAGCAAACATTAACAAAATTTGGTAGATTATCAGTAAACATTACAATGCTTTCATATGCAAAATATCTAATTTTTTTTTTTATTAAGACTTAAGGTTTATAAAGCAATGTTTCTCTCATGTCTTTTTTTTTTCTTTTTTGGCTGTTGCCTATCTATCATGCAAAGTAATTTTAATTTTATATATATATATATATATATTTATTATTTTTATTATGTTGACCTTTCACCCATGCCTAGCTAACAATACAGAAGTTACAACAACACAGCTCACATTCACTCATGTTACCATATCAAATAATATAAAACTGACCTTTGGTCTGTACAAAGTAACTTTTCTTGGCTGTATTTTAGTTGACTAGTATTTTGTAAAATACAGTCACATTTCAATTATTATACATTATATAATAAAGAAGTAAAGCAAGCAGTTATCTCTTCTAGTTATGACCTTTGTACTCGGTTGCTGCTTGATGTAGGTTGCTAAGCCTTTAAAAATTTTGCACGTGGAGGATATAAAACAAAATAGTTTTTTTAGGTTTTATATATACTTTTGAATAACTAAAAAATCATAAATTACAACACCAATACCATAGAATTCCACTATAATTTACCAAAGTTAGTAACTAAGCTGTATTTGAGACTAAAAAAATATATAAAATTTTGAGCAGACTAAAGACACAACCTACCTCATTAAAATCGTGATTGAAAAGAAAGAAATGGCATTAGGTACATTAGAAATACTGAGAAAACCACAACGGGGACATTCTGAGCTTCTGATTGGTTATTCATGTCATATATAGAAGTAAGTGTATACAAGGGAGCATTTTCAAAAATGGAAAGAGGTGAACGGGGTGCCACTGTGTTTGATTTATTACATGAGCAATAACTTAGCAAATAGAAAAGATAAGACCTTTTTATTTTACATTATAGCTTATCAATATCTGTAATTTGAGTTTCTAATTCATATGAACCAGTGCTGCATTCAATATACAATGTGACACACAAAATTTGATGTTTATCTGTGTTCTTTTAATATTTATCTTTAGATTAACAAATTGAGTAATATATAGTTCTAAAATTTGAATTATAATCTACCAAACTTATTGACATAAATTCATGAAATAGTAGTTCAATAAAATTGTGAATGCAAATCAACAAATGAGATGACATGTGATCCATCTCGACAGGGTTATTTATGTGAAATTAGCTGAACATCAATATATTGATATGTTATTCTATTAATCCTCACTCCCCAGGTACCCATTACTACGCATGACACAAGGTTTTAGTGTCTTACATTCAAAATTTTATTAAACTACTTTTTGTTTGTGTTATACTAATTAGAATAGCATAAAATCTTAGCTAATAATCCATATTTTAATAGTATACAAATTTTAAGTTCTTAATTCTACAAGGAAATATATATAAAAAATCCTGAATTTCCATTAGTGTGACCCATTTTCTCTTAGCACGTCATCAACCCTATTTCATCCATCACCCATCAAAAATGTACGAAGTTAAATGTAAAATACTCTCTATAAAATCGTTATTTCTCAAACAGACCATAATTTTTATAGTCTTCAATTTTGTTTGGTTACAAAGCTATCAAGTTGAAAATCAGACCCCTCCTGCCACACCCACCTGCCACATCCTCTGCTTCACAATTTGTTGATAGTTCTCTCTTACGTTTTATTATATATTACCTAAAACCAATAGAAAGTTAAGGTTTTCATTTATCAAATGACATATTGTATAATGTTGTGTTCTGAACAGATAAGCATCAATTTCACTCAGAGTAGCAACATCGTTCCTGTGGGAATGTTAACGACTAACTTGCATGAATTTGTAACAGCTCTTGTCGCATAGTTAGAAAGCCAGGACAATTTTGAGAAGTAAGTGAATTTGTCTACTTTTTGCATGTTA